GAGCGAAAGAAAGGGAGAAATGGAAATGAGTTTCTTTTCAGTAGGGAGAACATGTGATAAGGGGAAATTTCTCAGAGGAGATAAAGAATGATATTCCTATCTTGCACAGTAATAGGTAGATGAATTCTAGGAAACTATGAGATCAGTTTCAGGACAAGTGGTTTGCTGAAATTAACAGAGAAATTGTAGAACCGTAAGGCTTCAGTGACCTGAGGTTCCACGCCAGAAAGCAGGTACAAGGAAGCAGGTCAGCATGATTCAATTCCTCTGCCTCAGAACAGAACATCTGTGACGTGCTCAGACGAAGGAAGAAATGAAAACAGAGAACAGTCTCAGGAGCAGGAACAGCTTCTAGAAGCAGAACACTATCTGGGCTTTGGGATTCCAAACAGAAAGAAAAGTAAAACACAGATTCTGTGCGTGATTGTAAGGTGCGATACCATCCAGGTCCTGTGCTTAATGGGAACCAGGGCCCTGTACATGAGGGCAGATCATGGTCACCGGCAGAGCACAGGTCTCAGGCCGCCTAGGGAACCCTGGGGAAGAAAGCCTGGCCCTGCCTCTCCCAAAGTGCCCAATACATCATGTCAGGAAGACAGAATCTAGCAGTTTCAGTCTAAGAGATTCAAAGAATAAAAGAAGGCCACCTATCCCGTACACCAGCAGCCATCCTGGACAGGCACGCAGATTCATCCACGTTTGTCCTCTTCCACATCCTAAAAGGAATGCAAAGGCCTCACACACTGACTTTAACAATTACTCAGGACAAACCTTTCTATCTCTGGAGAATTATTTTCTCTTTTATTAACAATATTGCTAATGGTGATAATTCAAAATTTTAAAAATAAAACTTTAAGGCAGCATAAAATCAAACTTAAAATAAGAGGAATAAGTAACATTATCATAGAAAAAGCATCTATCAATAGTTATATGTTACATAAAGATTATATACCAACCATGCCACGCCCTCTCAAATATATCTTTTTAAATACAAGACTTACCTTTCACATTAGCTTGACTGGTGGGCCTCCCTACATTATTCCTCCTGTGTTTGGTTGACAGGCGCTTCCTCTGCCGAGGTGTGCTGGGGGGAGAGGTACCATAAAGGTTCTCTGTATTTGTTTCATCTGAAAAGTCCTCAGGATCAGACTCAGAATTCTTACAAGCTGAATCTCCCAATGCGCACTCTTGTCTATGGAGCACAACAAGCAGAGAAAACATTCAGGAATGTATGAAGGGAATTCAAATTTCAATTACTTAAAATTTCTTTTAAAAACTCTTCATAGGGCTTCCCTGGTGGCGCAGTGGTTGAGAGTCCGCCTGCCGATGCAGGGAACATGGCTTCGTGCCCCGGTCCGGGAAGATCCCACATGCCGCGGAGCGGCTGGGGCCGT